GTAGCCAAAATGAGTTTGTCTTTTAAGCTCTTCATCCATTCATCCAAATTAGGCCTTAACATGCTTGAATTGCATGAATTATGCTCTCTTGCTCTATTTGCCTACAAAACACACAAAGGGAGGCAAATAACTTAGAAATCTAAGAAACTAAGCAAAAGAAGTAAGTAAATAGGGCATGTATATGTATGAAATTATGAGCTTAACATGGAGCCTGATCAAAGCAAGTGGGTAGTCCAATCGACATTTGGGATCGTGAAGCATGGTGGTGTGTTGGATTTCCTTTGTTTTGAGGAAGGCAAAAGTGCTGCGTTTTGGACTGCGAACAGGTGCTGAGGCCGAGGGGGAAGACCCCTTTGGTCAGTGTACAACCGTGATTTATCAGGAACAAACAATTGGATTTCACTTCAACTTAACCAAATGACTGCTCCCACCATACTATGATGTTGCCCAAGTTTTGGGCCCGATCCGAAATGAAGAGGTGTAAGAAATTGGACAATTCAAGTTCAAAGGCAGTTCGTTCCTAATTGGAGTGGTTTGTGTATTGGGTAGTTCTAGAGATTGGATTTCACTCAAACTTATCCAAATGACTCCTCCCACCACATTATGATGTTGCCCAAGTTTTGGGCCCGATCCGAAATAAATAGGTGTAAGAAAATGGACAATTCAAGTTCAAAGGCAGTTCGTTCCTAATTGGAGTGGTTGGTGTATTGGGTAGTTCTCGAGATTGGATTTCACTTAAACTTAACCAAATGACTCCTCCCACCATATTATGACGTTAACAAAGTTTTGGGCCCGATCCGAAATGAAGAGGTGTAAGAAATTGGACAATTCAAGTTCAAAGGAACTTCGTTCCTAATCGGAGTGGTTGGTGTATTCCATAGTTCTAGAGATCGGATTTCACTCAAAATCCAACAAGTGACTCCTCCCACCATATTATCATGTTGCCAAAGTTTTTGGCTCGATCCGAAATCAATTGATGTAAGAAATTGGTCAATTCAAGTTCAAAGGTAGTTCGTTCCTAATCGGAGTGGATGGTGTATTCCATAGTTCTAGAGATCGGATTTCCCTCAAAATTCACCAAATGACTCCTCCCACCATATTATGATGTTACCCAAGTTTTGGGCTCGACCCGAAATCAATAGTTGTAAGAAATTGGACAATTCAAGTTCAAAGGCAGTTCGTTCGTAATCGGAGTGGTTGGTGTTTTCCGTAGTTCTAGAGATCGGATTTCCCTCAAAATTCCCCAAATGACTCCTCCCACCATATTATGAGGTTGCCCAAGTTTTGGGCTCGATCCGAAGTCAATAGGTGTAAGAAATTGGACAATTCAATTCCAAAGGCAGTTCGTTCCTAATTGGAGTGGTTGGTGTATTGGGAAGTTCTAGCGACCAGATTTCACTTAAAATTAGCCAAATGACTATTCCCACCACGTTAAGATGTTGCCCAAGTTTTGGGCTCGATCCAAAATCAATAGGTGTAAGAAATTGGACAGTTGAAGTTCAAAAGCAGTTTGTTCCTACTTGGAGTGGTTGGTGTACTGGGTAGTTTTGGGATCAGATTTCCCTCAAAATTCACCAAATGATTCCTCCCACCATATTAAGATGTTTCCCAAGTTTTGGGCTCGATCCGAAATCAATAGGTGAAAGAAATTGGACAATTCAAGTTCAAAGGCAATTCGTTCCAAATCGGAGTGGTTGGTGTATTCCATAGTTCTGGAGATCGGATTTCCCTCAAAATTCACCAAATGACTCCTCCCACCATATTATGATGTTGACCATGTTTTGGGCTAGATCCGAAATCAATAGGTGTGAGAAATTGGACAATTCAATTTCAAAGGCAGTTCGTTCCTAATTGGAGTGGTTGGTGTGTTCGGTAGTTCTAGCGATCGGATTTCACTTAAAATTAGCCAAATGACTCCTCCCACCATATTAAGATGTTGCCCAAGTTTTGGGCTCGATCCGAAATCAATAGGTGTAAGAAATTGCACAATTCAAGTTCAAAGGCAGTTCGTTCCTAATTGGAGTGGTTGGTGTGTTCGGTAGTTCTAGCGATCGGATTTCCCTTAAAATTAGCCAAATGACTCCTCCCACATATTA